TATGAAAAAAAATAATGTTATAAAAGAGAGAATGAGTAAACTTAAAATATCAACAAACAAGGAATTATGAAGTTGAGGCATGAAAAATATTTAATAAAATGAAAGGAGCCAAATGCAGGGGGATAGGGATGGGTAACCATTTGGATTGGACTGGCTTGAGCCGCCCACCTAAGCAATTTAGCACGAGTAGGTCTTTGAGGCCACAAAACCTAATGCCCCCCCACTCATATATTTTTTTTTAGAAAAATAAAAACCCACTTTGATGGTTTTATTTACTCACCCATTCTTGATGGCTGATACCATCATTTAGGAAATGTAGCCCTAATTAAATATTTTATGTATGATGCTAAAATCAGTTGTTAGGAGCTGAGAAAGAATCATTAAATAGGAATCAATGTAAAAATATTTTATAAAATATCTTAGAATTTCAAACAATGTATTATAAAAAGGGGCAGGGACTTAAAAATAATGAGCGCATGAAGTTTAACTATTTAAGATGTGAACTTAACTCGACCTTTTTGTAAATGCACTAGAGCCACGTTAGTTTTTATTTATTTCTAGAAAAAATATAACTTTAAACACCTATATTCTACTCAAGTTTTTTTAATGAATCATTGTCTTTTTTTAATGTTATAAATTTTTATATTTTTATTTTTCAATATTCTAGGTCCCTATAATACCGCAAATGAAGGGACCTAGAACACTGAAAAATAAAAATATAAACTTAAAATATTAAAAAAACAGTATAAAAATTTATAACAAAATTTGAGCAAAATATTAGGATTCAAAGTCATATTTTTTTTTAATTGACATAAGCCCCATTTATTCAATTAATTGAGCTCACACTGCCCTTTTTCATTTTCACTATTATTCAGGATTAATTCTTTAAAAAAATATTTTCTTTAAAAAAATAACATGCCGATGTGTATAAAAAAGTTTTTAAATTAAGGAAAAATACCAGAAATGTACATAAGCTCTAGATTAAAAAGCTTTGCCGTTACAAATCCAGCCCAGACCGAAGGAAGATATAATGTGCGTGTGCTACGAAGCTGAGATTAGAGCCGTCAAAAGATTTTTCTGCATTTGATGTCAAGATACCCATACTAGGCCAATGAATACAGCCGAAATTTCCAGAGTAGTAAAATATAAATAAGAATTACGGTTCAATTTTGTCCCTGAAGTATATGCAAAAGGTCAATAGAAACCCTAAACTTAACTTAAGGTTAATTTTATTTCTCAACTTTTAAATATGTTGCTACTGTGCCCCTGGTGTTAACTCTCTCATTTCTACCATTATGTGAGTCCCATTTTTTTTAATGTTTTTTAGTGGGTGCCATTATTTTTTTTATAGTATAAAAAATATCCCTATCCCTCTATCCGCTCTCTCTCCTTCATTTCGTCACTCCCCTCGGCATCTCCTTCCCTTCTCTCTCTCCCTCCTCCCTACTTTCTCTCTCCATCTTCCGTCTCTTCCCTTCCTCACACACCCATCGTCCTTTCTCCTCACACACTTATCAACCACTGATAACCTATTAAAATTGATGTCAATTCAACACACTTTCCTACACTTTATTTGATGGATTAGATTAATTGTGAATGTTTTGGGTTTAAATACAAAAAAATAAGCTTCAATCCAAATTGACGTAAAAAAACTTATTGAGAGTTTTGCATAGATTCTTATATTGATTTTAAACTTTAAAAGATCTCATAATTGTATTTATTGTTTTAGGTAATTTTGAAGATAAATAGCGAAATGATGATTGAAGATGTATATGAAAATATAACAGTAGAAAAATTAGAGCTAAAAGAGAAGATTAGAGGCTCTGTGTTATGTGCTACGATGCATGTACAATGCGCCACGGCATGCAGCACAAAGATGGAGTTTCTGGAGATGCAGGAGCACCGACACATTTTACCATATGCGTTGTGAAGCACTGACAACACGCCGCGGTGTATGGCCTAAATCTGGCTATGCATTTTGAGCTGCAAAATGAAAAAATTAGGGTAGATAAGCCATAAACACGCCTCCAAACAAGGAGCTGCAATTTTTAGACATTCTTTGAGGCTTGCTTTACTAGAGTTTAGGGTTCTTAAAGGAGATTTGACCAATGATTGAAGATTTGAAGAGATTCAAATGAATTTTCTTCAATTTTCTTCTCCTCTTCCCTTTTCTCTCTTTGTTTCTGATATGGATGCTGTATATTGTGACATTTATGACTCTTTTCTGAACATGAGTAGCTAGTTCTCTTGTTTTAGGATTATTTTAAATCTTTGTATGGATTAAGACTTGCATATTCTTCTCTTTTGGTAGTTAATGATATATATATGTGTGTTTATTTTATCATATACTTAATGCTTTAAAGTGCTTGATCACCATTTAGATTGTTTTGTTCACTTAAATTGTGCTTAAGAAAACTAATTTAAGTGTAGAAATTGAATAAAATAATGTTAGACTTAAAATTTATAAAGATAAATGTATAATTTTTTTTGGTAAAATAGAGATATTTATTAACCCTCTATAGTCATACTAAAATTGAAACCTAAAATTTGTTTTCACTAATTATTTTTAAAATATTGTAAAATTTTAGTATTTTCAAATATACTTGATTTTGACTTAAGAAAGCTTTTTCAAGTGTATTGAAATTTTAGACTAAAACTTATTTTCATTAAAAAAATTATTTGAGAGGAATTAATTTAAATTTTATGAAATGTAAATGAGAGAAATAATCTTAGATTCTCATCTCTAAAAGTTAATGTTTTAACAAGTTTTAATTACTTTAAAACAATTTTAATCCAAAGTTCATTACTTTCACACAAACACACTCTTAATTTCGCTCAACCTATTTTAAAATTTAATAGTAAATTTTAACCTTCATTTATCTAAATATTCGTAGAAACGATAACTCTAAAATATTGTTGTGACGACTGATATGCTTACAGTAATGCTTGACAGCGAACAGCCATGCCATAGACATTTATGATTACTACTTTAACATATTATCAGTCAACAGCTCCTGGGATAGCATTGACAATAACTTCATCCGGTGCTAAGCTTGCACTCAAGTTGATGTTCCTGTCTTCCATTCTACCAACTGCAATTATTATAACTAGCTCTAATGGGATGGCGTGACGTCATGGAAAAGGGCATTGTCATTATAGCGTGGGATGGCATTGGCTATCAATCTGTTGTTCTTTATTAACTTAGGTCCTATTCTCCCCTGTTTTTTCTATTGGAAACAGAGATGGTGCTTCTTACCACCACCAAATCCGGTGGCTACTCCAGCGTTCTCTTAGGCATGCTCTCAAGAATCCACTTAGATGCATGCATGTTCAAGAGAAGAAGGGGTGTGTGTGTGTGAGAGAGAGAGAGAGTGTGTGTGTGGGGAGGGCGAGAGAAAGAGACGTTAGGGGGAGAGAAGGAATGAGAGAGAGAGAGAGAGAGAGAGAGAGAGAGAGAGATTATGCCTTGCACATCATTATGTTATTGCTCATAATCTATGCCAGCAAGCTGACAAGTCGATAAGCACTCAAAGCTCACACCAAGAGTTGATGACAAGCAAAATATGAAGAAAGAGGATGATCACGTTTGGTTGGAGTTCATGATCGCTCAAAGCTTGAACTACGAGTTGATGAGGTGGAAAGAGAAATAGTTTTATAGCTCGTGCTTGAAGATGAGGGTGATCATGAGTGCAAAGGATTCAGCCATTTCTGTGTAAAGAATAAATCTATGCAATGCATCGTTTGGATCAATGAGGTGTGAGGGGAGAGAGAGAGAAAGAGTAGAGGATATTTAAGATAAAAAATATTTAAAAAATTAATGTGGAACCCACAAATAACATTTTATGATAAAAAATATTAAAAATTTTCAAAAGTAAGGCCGATACTAATGGACGTCAGACAAGATAACATCATAGTGCTGGGAGAAAAAATCTATTACGTTGAAGGGAAAAAATAATCCTAAATTAAATTTAAAATTATTTATGACGTGTATATTGAGAGATATTTTTAACCCTTAAGCATAGATAAGCAAATATATTAGTTCCCTACCTCTACCAAATAACCTAGGTCGGTAATGATGCTCCCAATTCCATTATTAATTGCCCCAACAACAAAATTAACACTTGTCCTTTAATATCCGATCTCTTAGTGGATCCTCCCTGCCGTTTAACTTGATCCATAGGTTATCCGTAATTTATTATCCCATTCCTGTTGACCCAATTCTCCAACAGCACTAGAAAGAACGAGCCTATTTCTCAAAAAGAAAAAAGAAAAGAAAAGAACACCTCGGGTGCACTCGGTGACAATGCAACCATGCATTGCTTTATTCTTCTATGATTTGGTGGAGACAGATAATAATTGTGTAAAACTGTAGTATTCAAAAAGTAATTATGATGAGATAGGGATTAGAAAAAGTAAAATGTGGCACCATAAAAAAAGACAATACCTATTACAGCTGTTCTAAAAGTTTCAGGTGAGATTCACCGTCCACTTAGACGTCCCCCGAATCACATCGTAGAAACTTTTCTTCAATCATTTGAATTAAAAAAAAAAAATGCCATTTTGTGTAGAAACTTTTCTTCAATCATTTGAATTTAAAAAAAAAAATGCCATTTTGTGCGGTCAGATCACTCAGTGACAAACAAGCTCAGTTGAAACCATCATCATTCTAGCCAAACAAGACAAGCAAAAGTGCATTGTGAACTGTGACCGCTCAAGTATATCAACACAACGATTTCATATTGCCAGTATCCCAGCCCCTTACCAAAAACTGCAGGTGTGTCACATGAGAAACGAATCTTTCACCAAATAAAGAACTGCATGCACACTAAAAAGATGCGCTAGGGACACCATTTTTGTACGTGATATAGCTTATCCTTTAGCCATTCTATACGAGCTACATTTTGTTGGTACATTCCATGGCTTTATAAATTGTCTATTGTCCTTAACAAAAAGGGGGGAAAAAATTGTCCATTGTCCCGCTTCCTACAGGATATGAGTGGTTGAGGCAAAAGAATAGGCACAATTATCCATTATTATTCCTTTTTGTTTACATCAAGTCATCAATCAACTAACAAACTTGCTATACTAAGCCGTCCCTAACTCCTAATCTGATTTCTGACTACAAGACTGCAAAGCCACCATCTATATTTTAAAATTCTAGCAGCATCACCCCCAAAAAAAAAATTAAAATTAAAATTAAAAATTAAAGAGAAAAGGTTCATTATTTGAAAATACCTTCCTCACCACTCCAAGGCAACCCTTTAAGTACATCTCTTAAAGCATAGTAATGGCTATCGCATTTGTGGTCTGAGATCAAGTTGCTTGAAAGGATTATCCTCTGGAAATGCTCACCAGGATGCCTCTTCAGTAGGGTGAAATATTGCTTTCCACCATCAGTTTGGGAGCCCATGTTCCTTTGTAGACAGTAAACGATCCCGGGTATGAATAATTCCTCATGTACTTTAGACTCGTCTCCCCCAGTTTTCAGGGCAATAGAAGTCTCCTTCCTATCCACAAGGGCTCCAGGAGCAACTGGCAACTCCTTGCCTATGGCAGCATCTGTTTACACACAATAATATAGCTTACATAAGAATATGTAAACGCATTAACAACCACAAAAACAAATTTAGTGCACAGTTTTCATAATTATTGGCAACTTAAGGTTTGACTCAGAATGATGTTTATATAATGTAATAACAAGAAAGACTGAAAACCACTAGCTTGCAGGCTATTTGAAATTTGACTACGACTGAGGTCTATGATGGCAATTGTTGAGGTTAGCCACTTAGACCTTGAGGCCTTAGTTCAATTTGCAGAAGTGTTGAAGTAGAACTGGGTACATCTCAAGTTATAGATTGCCACTCTCAGAAATTTTAAGCCAACACAGAAAAGGCCAATGGCAGCTTACCAGTTAAACTTTTGTTTCTCCTGAAATTTGCATAATCAACAAATTTGCGAGCTACATCTTGAACTGACAAAACAACCTGCTTAGCATTTGTAACCAAATCTATGACGCTTTTCCAGTCTTCTTTCTCAATCATACTCATCCTATACAAGACAAAGTATGAGTAAGTCTTTTTTGGTCGCTAGCTGTAAAACTCTTCTCTGAAGTGCCAGGCTGCCTGCTATAAAATATAGTACAGCTTATTTGCTACCAACCAATCATACCTTTTCCTTGACATGTGAGGGCATTGATAAAAGGCCCCCTTATGCCTTTCAGTGTTTCTTATGATAACAAGAAAACTAATGGACCGAGAACAATAAAATTGGAAAAAACAATTTTCTGATGGAACGAGAACAATAAAATTGAAAGACAGTTATATAATGAACTGAATATGATGCATCAAAGCAAAAGCACCTCTTTAACAACTCCGTTCTTCAACATAAGAACATATGATAATTAAAAATATAGGAGACGAGGAAGAACCCAAATAAACCAAAAAAGCATCAGGTCAAAGTTTGAAAGTACTAGAGAATTGTGAAATAGTAACAGAGGTATTGGCCACCCCCTCTATTCTTCTCGCGCAAGCACGTGTGTGCATGCACAAGGAAGATAACTACATTGTCAACATTTAAACATCCCTTTATTAGAAAAAGCTGCCATTGATTTGTACTCCCTCTAATCCTATTTGTAGGACACCTTTTAAAAGTAATAACTAAACTACTTTTTTTAATTTTACCCTTTCTTGATTAGTGTGAAAATATTTAATGTAGTTATATCATTTAAAGCCAAGGGTAAAAATGAAAATACATATCATTTTTTTATAATATTAAGGAAAAATTAACTTTTCTTAAGATGCTTGAAATGGTTAAAAGTATCTTATAATAAAAACCAAAGGGAGTATTGCTCAAGAACTATAAGCTGAAATTAATTTCTTCAACTTTTTAGCACTTTCTCTTGGAAGAAATGGGGGAGAATCTGCTTGTTGTAAGACTAAATTAAATTTTCCTCACCAATCAGTTTGAAGAATTTCATTTCTCAACCTTGTTAGGGAAGCTACACTTAACCTAGGTATAATGTCATCCTGCATATAATCAAAAACCAAGTAGTTATATACCAATGATGACAGATAATAAAGACAAAAACTAGAAAAGAATCTGGACTCATCTCAGAAACTTCATAAACATAATTATTTACTTCAAGAATCCAGATCAAACACTGTGGTGCGCACACATGCACATGTTTGTGTGTGTGTCTGCCAGTCAACAAACACCCACCTGCATGACAACTGTTGTTACGTAGCTAGAGCAGCTTTCAGCAAGTTCTGCAGAGACACATGGTGGAGTACCAAATCCAATAGCAGATACAATATCAGGGCTAAAACCGAGCTCCTTAGATGACCTTCTGTGCATCATTATCGCTAATAAGGAAGCTATAGCACCTCCAAGAGAATGACCCACCAGTCTTACCCTAAATCCCTGTTTCAGAGTTGGTCACGCTGACTAAAAGAATAGGCAAACTACAGAAGGAGACCCAAAATTCAAAAAGAGATGACAAATGAATTATACTAATCTAACCAAAAATTGAATTACACTAATCTTCCCAATTTTTTTTAAATTTCTCATTAAGCACATAAACTTCTCTAATAATGTAATTTAACTTGTTCAAGATGGTGTGGAGAAAATTATTGCATAAAAATGCAGGGAATCTAGGCACAGGTTTTATAAATGTCAACAGAGAAGGTCATTGCATAATACGAAACTAGACAAAGTGTAGGTTACACAAACTCAGGGAGATAAATATATTTTTTTCCATAAAAAATTAAGATCATCCCACCTTATGTTTCTCCAAACATTGCCTTATGGTTCCAATCTCATGATAAAGAAACCAACGAGCAGATTCAGCAGTTCCAAAGTGGGTTGAATAGCCCTCAAAGGTGACTTCACCATCACTTGAGGAAACAACATCAGTGATAAGGTCAGAAACAGTTTGGGTTCCACGAATGCAAAAAATAACAAGTTTCTTACGGGTATCAACCCCTATATAATAGCCAGGCCTCATAACACTGGAACTTTTAACAAACTTCAAAACATTGCTTTCTCGGAGCATGCTGTTCCTTGCAATACCAGCAGCATTATCCCTATAAGCACCTTTAGCCAATTCAAGGTAGTATATAAGATCTTGGACCTGGAATCCAATGAAATTTCCTAATGAGAATCAAGACTGTGCCATGCCATAATGACTTGCAATGACAAGCTGAGAGTGCAAGATAAACAGATAATTATGCCACAAGGACATGTATGCTCTCTTGAGTGCGGTTTTAGAAATTACTATTGATTCCGATAAGATCTGGATTCCTTTGATATCTTCAAATGCATTTCCAGAAGCTTGACGAAGATATACAAGATACAGGCCAATTGTAAGGTCACTCAAGCTCCAATCCTGGATTCCAACCTTGCTTCGTTGGATCCTACTAATTATTTCCAAAAGGGATCGGTTGCTTGGTGGAGGATTGCTTCCACTTCTACAATTTTCATCTCCTGCGTATTCTTAAACATAGACTAGGGCTTTAGCATATAAGAAAATGGATTCTCATAGACTTGTGTTGCGTGGAGCAAGAGAATAATCTTCTTTTGATGTTAATCAAACTGCAACTTTAATATAATGTAGCAATTATGCCTTCTACCCTATAAATTATCCGACTGGTTTGAAGAGAAAAGGGGGAGTGAGAAAAGAAATAAGAGTTTACATGATGCATGTAATCAGTTGTGTTCAATTTCACCAATGCAGTAAACTAAGTGATATATCAGTTAAAGATTGTCCGTACTCTGCAGATAGATTGATTCAAGATAATATAGAAAGATACCAGCAATTTGTAACTATCTGTGCTGTCTAATTTCATGAGATGAAACATGCTCTACAGTTAACAGACCTGTTGGCAGAGCCCACCTACACAATTGCAGAGCTGGTTCCAGTGCCTTTGTGAGCCAAGCCAGCTCTAACTTCCACTTACTATCAGCTGGATCTTCACCATCAGAACTGTATTTGCTAACCCAGATATTGTTGTCTATCTTCTTATCGAGAGAAGGTTCAGGTGTTTTGTCCATTTTTTTAAGTTCACCTCCTTCAACCTTATCTGCTATTGACCTATGCAGTTGATTCCAGTTAACAATACCGTGCATGTACTTCCAATATGGTTCCTCTTTATTGAGAAGCCCTTTAGCACAATCTACAGAGTGGATTAAAAGAACGTGAATATCCAGAATCCAAATAGTATTTATTGGAAGGAGAACTGTCTGCACATAAATCATTTATGCGATGAAAACTTTAGAACTGAGGCTAGTAACTAGTCCACAGATATTTGGACACAAACCAATAAGACATCAAAGGACGCTAGTTCCTTACGAAGCCTTTCAGCAAGAAAGATTATAGGATCGAGCTCGAGACAAAATCAATCTTTTAACTTTAGCAATTTATAGAAAAATTGCAATTCCATTCCGAAAAATTCCGATATAAAATGTGAGGATAATCAGAGCAACCAACATTGCAGCAAAAAATATACAGCAAGTCTGTTGAAGAGCAGGGTGTTTAAGATTTGCCGCATGACCCTGTCCAGATGAAATACTAATGCCAACATGATTAAAGCGATTGCTGTAGGGCAAAGCAGCTTTCTTTTCAAAGGGGCTTCATGTTTTATAACATCAGACATGAGGTGCTTTAATCTTGCGGAACTCATCATCCAAGCAACATAACCATTAACCAGAGACTCATGTTCCTGGAAGTAAAAAAAAGAAGGAAAAACAGAGAGGATGGAAAATCCTAGTATTAAATTTGGCCCCCGGTTGAAAGGCTAATCGAATCATTGAAATTCGGAAGAAATTCAGCACATTACTTCCCATTTACCGGTTATGAAGAGAGCTCATATTAATTGCAGCAATATGAATAAAAGAAGCCACAATAATAAAGCGGTGGCATCATAGAAGATGAACTTACATATATTATGCAGCAGTCGCTTCACGTATCGGCAAGTCATTTTCATTTTCAAAGAAAAAGGGTTTGATTATGTGGGGGTGTTAGTGAAAGTTTCAGAGAACTAAAGGTGACGGTTGGGGTGCGGAGTGTGGCGGGTGAGCGGATAATAAGCTAGACTCATTGAACCTCCGTGGCGGCGTTATAGGTGAGAAAGCAGCAGTAACTACACGCAAACGAACCAATTAACTCGACAGATGGAAAAATTATAGCAAATGCTCAGTGTCGCTCTCGCTAGACGAGGCCGGATGAACAGTAAGATGACTCGAGAAGTTACAGCGAAGAGGACGGCTTACCCCAAGGCCAATGCCCAATCCTTTCATTCAGCAATGTATTTTTCCCCCAAAAAAGAAAGAGATTTAACAGTAGGATAGTCGTGCATTTTTGCTTATTTCTCCTATAACCACTGATAACATGACGTGAAAATTTATGCCATGTTAACACATTTTCCTCTAATTTCATATGCATTTAGGTGAAGTTGTGAATACTTTTAATATGTGTAATAGATAAATGTGTGTTTCTTATATTTGGACTTAAATGACAAAATTTTGATCTAAACTATGCATACGTTTTATCTTGATTAAGATTAAATTGGAACCTTTTCAAATTATTTATCTTCTTAAATTGTTTGGAGCATCATTTGAAAAGGATAAAAAAAAAAGAAATTATGAAATTACTACATTAAGAAAAAGATAAAATAAAGACTAAAAAATTAAAACTTAGTTGAAACACTTTTAGCTTTGGTCAAAAACTAGAACTAAAACATGAGAGAAGCACTTTAATTGCAGCCAAAAAATCTTAAGCCACAGCTAAGGATAAATTTGCCGCAACCAAATGACGTTTATTGAAGCTGTACATTTTGGCATCAAACTTGAAATTAGGTTTATATGTACAAACCTCTTATATTTGTGAAGTTATTTTTCATATTTGAGCCTTCATTGAGAGCTTCGTGTGCTAGGGTGTTGGAGTTGAAAGAGTTTGGAGTGAGGGAATGAAGACGTGAACACATTTATAGCTCCATTCTCTTCGTTTTTTTGTTTCTTCTCCTTTTCTCTCTTCTAACCTAATATGGATTCAAATATTTTGTATATTTGTATAGTTTGTAAATGATTATGAATAGTTAAACACTTTATTCTATGATTATTTAAAATTTTTATATGGATTAACACTAATTTATTCCTCTTTTTTGATAATTAATGATATATAAATATTTATTTTACTATTCTCTTAATAATTCTAAGTGATTAGCTACCATTTAATTGATTTGTTCAATTAGATAATGCTTAAGAGGGCTAGTTTGAATGTAAAATTTGAGTAAAATAATGCAAGAACTTGAAGTTTGCATGGTAAATGAATTATTTTACTAATAAGATAGAGACATATTTATTAACCTTGTATAATTACATTGGAATTGATATTTAAAATTGAGTTTTATTAATTGTAATAAGAGATTGGGCAATTAATTTAACTAAATACTTGTTTATGATTTAAAAAAGCTTGTTCAACTATTTTTTTTTAAAAAAAAACCTCGAGTTAACACTTATTTTCATTAAAAATATTTATGAAGAAGTTATTTTAGTGTTATGAGATGTAAAGGGAACAAATTATTCTAGATCTCAATTTATGTTTGAAGTTTGAAAATCATTTTATTTTCCCTATTTTTTAAATATAATGTAAATTTTAAAATCAATTTTATCAAACCAATTGTGTTTTGCTTAACTTGATTGAACTTATTCAGTCTTTTGCTTGATCTTATTTTTAATATAAATTTTTATGGGAACGATACTCAACTCATATTATATTATTTATCACGGTCAGTGTACTTGCGGAAAAAGCAACAAGTTTTTGGATACTCTACTCACATTATCTTACATGTCATGGCTTGTGAACTTGCAGAGAAAGCAAAAACCACTTAAGATCAAAATAATTTTATCTTTAAAATAATTAAAACAAAATATTTTTGTTCCTAGTATAAATTTTTCTAACAACTAATATTGAAGTCTCAGATAGCATTTTTTAACAATAAACATCAAAAATTTAATGATAATAACAAAAATACTATGACCTAAGAGGTTGCATGCTCATTGAAAATACTTTTAAAATAAAAATACACATTTATTCTTAATAATAATAGTAGTAATGTTATTAATATTGATTATTTTTATTCTTTTTTTATTAATGACCCAATTAAATTAAAAATAACTTTTTAAACCCCGTCATCCATGCTATGCCTGGTGCATTAATTACATCTTTTGTTTTAATGCACTGTTTAATTACACATTCGCATCCCCTATGATTTATGATTTTTTTTATAGGAGCCTATGATTCATGATTATTGTAAAAATATATACTCCATCCGTTTAAAAATATTTTTAACTAAGTCTCATTTTTAAATAAAATAGATACCTACTTTCAAGTTAATTCTATCTTTTTATATTTATTCTATTAAACACCTTATAATAAATATAAAGTCATTCATCAATGGGGATACTTTTAAAAAAAGTAATGATTACACCTTAAAAGATTAAAAATATCTTATATTTTTAAACATCTAATTCCTTAAAAAATACCTTATATTTTTTAATGGAGAGAGTATTTAACTAATTAACATCACAATATATTGTTATGTAGGTACCAAACGTCACATAATCATTTTGTGGTGTAAACAATATTTAACTGATTAAATAATTGACATTATGATTATTCTCTCTCTTGTTTGTTTTGTTTTTTTGGCTGGTAATGTTCCCACCTTTTGTGTAAACAATTAAACATTACTCAAACATTATTTTAGAATTTAATTCTTGGAAATATGTATGAAAAGATATTATTTAAAAGAAGACAACTCTTTAAATGATATTCAAATTTATTGGGAGATTGATTTCACAACTGCTGGCCATAAAGGTACCTTGAATAACCCTAAAAAATAAAAAACAATTAAACATACGCATAGTGATCGAGGGCCACAATCCTGCAATGCAACTTTTTGTTGGACCCAATCTTCACTTTCAATTTTCTTAGTTTTCTCTTCGGCCCACTTTCTTCTCGGCCCATTATGAGAGCAATCTTTCTTGCGTTTTTGGTTCCCCCCCCTTCTTTGCGGGCATTAATTTTCCATTCACACGCGATTATAATATTATAAAATTACCAGCAAAGGCTTAAGTCCAAAACACAAATGATAAGTTAATGTAAAATAATTGACTTTATGTTTACAAATTATTCCTCTACCCTCTTAAGAAGAATAGAGAAAAATTTAAGAAAACATTTTTAGAAGTTGTTGAACGCGATCTCTTAATTAATAATATTCTTAAAAGTTTGATAAATGATAGAGCAAAATGACATCTTACAATCCATGTAACCGGCCCCACCTGATGAGATAAAAGCTTGTTATTGTTGTTGTTGTTGTTGCTGTTATTTACAAATTATTTCTTTAATTTGGGTAAAATTAAAACACTCTTAATTTGTTGATTCATAATTAGTCATGCCATCATTCAGTCACATACAGTCATTATATTGCATTACATATGTTACGTGTACAATCCACTTCCGGAGAAAAGGAATGAGAACAAAAAAGTGTGAGGGATTAAGATTAAGAACAAGAGTGGCCCCATAAATACATAGCATAAGTTTTGTTTTGACGTGAATTCGATTCGAGTGATGGGAAGGGTATCAATGATTGAGCTAAATGCGATCATATCTATGCTTAGATTTATTTAATAATGATCAAAAAGATATAGTTAATGGAGTGCCTTGATATAAACCCGCACCAACATTCGGATTCTCTAGATGCCATGATTATTAATGTATCTAATGATAATATATACACACATTTTACTATATATTTCAAATTTGAGATTTGCGTTTTTACGACTCACACGTTGGTGATGTCCAAATACTAGATTCATTTTTTTATCTAATAAGAAGTTTGATCGATGATTTTGTATGTCAAAAGTTGATACGGAAACAAGCGGTGACAGGTTTATATATATATATATATATATGTTGGCCAAAACTAATGATGAACTTGATATTTTTTTTCTTCAGTAATGTATATGTATGCTGATAAACAATGGAAATGTTTATTATATAAATGGATGGAGATGAAAGTGTAACCTAGATGAGAAACAGGATGAAAACATATTTCCCCTTATTTAGGAGGGTTGGAAGAAAAAATTGGTAGATACATTTTGCGATAGTAGCTAGTAATGATTGAAGTTAATATGATAATATCATACAAAAGAAAAATTATATCCTGTGATAGGAAAGAGCTCGCTTGTAAAATTTATTTGCATTGTGATTGTCTTATTTTTCATTAAAAAAAAAACATGGCAGTAACTAGTAAACAGAAAAACTTATATAAGTAGCTTTATATATTTAATGTTTTTGTTTTTAATTAAATTAAGATATGTAAATTTTTTATAGATTATTTATTCTATAATAAATCTTGTTATTAATTTTATTAACATATTAAGATTCACTTATTATGATTTGATTGGATATAAGTATATTAAATATATAAGTATTATCTATTAATAAAAGGCATGGACATGAAAGAAGATGCAATGAAAGGGATACTCAAAATTAGCGGCCAAGATAGTTTTGGCGAATGCACAAGAAAATGTGTAGATTTGCTCCCATATTTGATCCTCACGTTTCTTAATTTAGAATCTTCCTCAACAAAGAAAGAAAAGAAAAAAAGAAAAAATGTAGATACCATTTCCAACAAGCCACGTGATGTTCGTGAAGATCAAATGCATTCTAGTCTGCCGAGTTCTTATCCTACTACAGATCTGACTCACACTATCGCGCCCATAATATGAGGCCATTAATTAGCTGATAAGCCTGCCATCATATATTAATTAAGGCGATCGAATTCAATCTCATGGCATCGCTTTTTGAAGTGGGTAAGGAAAGTTGTAATGACATTTTACTCAAAGGGGCCAAAAAGATGATGAAACCCGTATAGCTGGTGTGATATATACCTCATCAACTTTGATAATTAACTTCAAAAAGGGTTTAAAGAGTACGAACATGATAATGATGATAATATAAAGAGTAGCGCCTGGGATGAATGATAGAAGAAGAAGAAGACATGCATGACTGGGTAGCATGTGTGAGAGAGAACAGCGACAATAATGGGAGGATCTAGAGGATACCAATGGAGAAGCGACGATGAAATGGACAAGCAACTGAAAATGATTGATAAAGAACTCACATCTCAGCAGCACCAAATTAAACATGATAAGGGCAACCAGATCCCTTTTACATTTGCATCAACTTCTAAACACACACACACATATAATGGTGTTGGACCCACTTTCGCTCTGGTCCCCCAGCAATCCCGACCTCTCTATTTTTCATGGCCCCCGTGATTGATACTGCAATGTCGTTCTCCTCGGAAAAAGGAAATATATAAAACATAAGCTGATTCCAAGGGTTAATTAATATATTGATCCGTCCAAAACCCTCACCTCTCAAGCTGATTACATTCTCGTTTTTACTCCACAGCACATCCCACTCTATATCTCCTTTGCTGCACTCAACAACCCTATCGCAACATGCTACATCATAACGTAGCCTTCGTTTCTTTTCCTTCTGTAGAAACCCCCCATGGCAGTGCAGTATATATAATCCTCCCAAACCAACCATAAGAACTACAACTTGCTTTCTTCTAAACCAGCGAGCAGTGTTATAATTACTTCCCCTTTCTGAATCTCACGGCAAATTAAGCTGTTAACATTAGAATTTGGCTCCCGCGAATCAGATCAGTGTCTTCCTCTCACAAACCTCTAGTGATAAGGTGATGGTGACAGATCCCTCATCAGCGTTAACTTCAGCTTACAGGGTCTTGCAATTCACCTTTGGCTTCTAATATTAATAGGGCCAAATTATACTGATGGCTGAAAGAGTTCTTGCATGCACTATCAACAGTCAAAATCTCTGCAGCAACTGCACTCGTCAGTAATTTATTTAATTGACCACACCGAGTGGTGAATGAAACGTATGCCTAATTAATGCGCTGACGTGGGACGCTTATTATATGTATAACTCAGCAATTATTGTCTCCTACTTTAATATGTTGACTTATTGGGCGCGTAATCAAATCTTAATTGAGGTAACGCAGTCTTGAACCGACAAACTGAACCGTAATGCGATTGTGACTTTGATATTTAAGAAACAAGGGAGACCGACATATGCCCTACATGATTTTGAGCTTTCGATCTCCATTTCTCTCCCCTTTTCATTACTGAAGAAAGCCACTATTTTTTAAAAACAGTAAAGGCGAGTTCGAATGCCTCACTTTTGCTGGAATTGCACCACATACGCAACAGTCTTGGATACACATACATATATGCTGTATTAATTTCTGGCTAAAATGTGTATTGGACCCGAGTCCCACCGAATAGTGTCTCTTTTGTTTTTTCAACACTTAGTTAGGCAATATATAAATGAACCAAAACTCATACTGCATTATGACGAGCATTTAGAAGCCAACATATGCAATCACAATAATTTCATAAGCTCGAATGTTAAGAAATCCTTTTTTTTTTTTTTTGCAAAGGAAAACCAGATTCGTTGACCACAAAAAAAAATGCTGAATTGCTAAAGGAGGCAAAATCTACTAAAAGCATGCATCTCTAAATACTCCATTCGTTAAAAAATATAAGGCATTTTTAATCAAATCTCATCATCCATTAAAGTAATTACCTACTTTTTAACTAATCTTATTTTTTTATATTTATCCTCATTAAACACCCTATAATAAATATAAAGTCATTATCGATAAGGGTACTTCTGAAAAAAAGGCAATGATTACACCTCGAAAGATTAAAAATGCCTTATATTTTTTCACATCTAACTCTTCAAAAAATACTTACATTTTTGAACAAAGGAAGTAATTATAGGGCAGAGAGAGAGAAAAAATTTTTGGATCCTATTTATAAGTCACATTATTAAATTTTTATCATAAATTTTTGTTTACCCTCCATTGAATATTGAAAAAAAAAAATTATTGAAGTGTGTATATTTAATAGGGACAAAGTTGAAAACTTATTAAATTTTAAGACAAAGTTAATGAGTTTTAAAATTTTTTTAATACTGATAAAATATATTGAAAATAATTTATAAATAAAATTAAAGTAGTAATATTTTTTTCCTTGTTTTGGGGGGGGGGGGAGTTTTGGAGTATTGATGCTTGGCTTGTTAACTTACATTAATTAACATCGAAGTCTTAAAGAGACAGGCCAAAAGTGGGTATCTCACCATACTGGCCTTTCTTTGCGACTTTAACTGTGTTCATGTCAAGATTTAGAGACATCTGTCATGCCATTTTTCTTTAATTTCTCCATTCAATGTTTTGGCATCTCGTACCGTTCATTTAATGGCCACCTAAGTCTCAGTTTGAAGCAGGCCTCCTTCTCACTTAATTATCTCAACCTAGCTAGGTTTAACATGGAAGTCGTGCTCGTGGGAGAAGATGGTCGTGGCTATGACAGAGCTAAGGAAGTTAAGGAATTTGAAGAGACCAAAGCTGGGGTTAAAGGCCTCGTGGACTCTGGAATTGAAAGGCTCCCCAGGTTTCTCATTCATCCGCCGGAGTCCCTTCCAAACTTCTCCGCTCCTATTACTTGCTTCCGTGTGCCGGTGATAGATTTTGAAGGGTATGAGAGCTCTCGCCGGACAGAGATAATCAATGAAATTCGTCAAGCCTCAGAAACGTGGGGCTTCTTCCAAATGGTGAATCACGGAGTCCCAACTTCTCTTATGGACAACTTGCTTAAAGTCATCAGAGAATTTCATGAACAACCAAGGGAGGTGAAGAAGGAGTGGTATTCCCGTGACAACAAGACACGAGTGAGGTATTTCTGCAACGGAGACCTCTTCGTCTCCAAAGCAGCGAATTGGAGGGACACCTTGCTCTTCGACTTCCAGGATGGTCCCCTGAACCCCGAAGCCTTCCCTCTTGTGTGCAGGTAATTAATATAATAACGCGTCTCATACTTTCATACGAGTATTACACAAGAAAACGGGTTACTTTACTTCAGATGTATATAAATCTCTCACAGCTTCACATTCTTGGTAATGACAAACGCAGCTGCTTTGTTGTATTATATTGCAGAGAAACGGTGAGCCAGTACATTGAGCATATGAGGGAACTGAGAGAAAGAGTATCAGGACTACTGTCAGAGGCACTGGGGCTGAGGACGGACCGTCTGGGAACCTTGGAATGCATGAAGAGTGAATCAATGGTGTGCCACTATTACCCGGCTTGTCCCGAACCGGATCTCACATTTGGCACCACCAAGCACTCAGATCCATCGTCCCTGACATTTCTACTGCAAGATAACATAGGTGGCCTCCAAGTTCTTCATCGAGACCAGTGGGTTGACATAAACCCCGTACACGGAGCATTAGTGGCCAACATCGGAGATCTCATGCAGGTAACATCTGGTTTCCGGGGGAGAAAAATCAATTTCTACTTTTGATTCATGATTCACTGATACTCTCCAATCAAAATCATAAGATTTATTGTTTCAATCTTATAAAACGTAATCATCACTTAACTAAGATATGAATTGATTGGAACCATAAATCGAGCATTTCGAATCGATATGGGAGAATCACACTGTTCTTCGATTTAATCGCGTGAAAAGTAAGAACAATGACTTGACGACTAAATTATATGACTCTTAGATTGTTGAATATTATCCATATTTCATATAAAAGTTTTAACAAATACATGTTACTTGAAGATGTTATAAATATTTTACCTATAAATAATAAACATAACTATTGAGTGATGAGTTGATTATTTATATTTAAATATTAATATATGTTCTAATTTTTGGAAGCTTACATGAATCTGGATTTGACAAGCATGGAGCATAAGAGTAAAATAACTGATTTGATTATGTGTAATGTTGCGTAGCTGATAACCAATGACAAGTTCAAGAGCGGGGAGCATAGAGTACTGGCTGGACGAGTAGGGCCCAGGGTATCTGCTGCATGTCTATTATATCCAAGGGAGAAACACAGAGCATACGGACCACTAGAGGAATTTAAGTCCGCCATTCACCCACCTTTCTACAGGGAAACCACCATTAGTGAATATCTTGCTTTCTACAGATCAAAAGGCCTCGATGGCAACAAGGCCCTTCCTCATTTTAGGCTATGAAGCAACTCACTCCCCGGTGGTGATTTAATGAATAATAAGCTACCATTCAACAGCTTTGTCGACTTTTAATACACTCTCCTCTTCTCTGTTCACAAGTCTGATGCGTTATATTTTAACTGATCGCGCGCGCATTCTATTTCAAGACGCTTTAACGCATCCGGATATTTCTAATGTCGAACGCTAGAGCAAATCATGATCACAATCCCACCACTAAGAAACGAATGTCATCTTTGTCACACTATAAAGCCTCCGTATTTTACATCTTCATAAAGTTTGGTTTTCTCCTCCCTCTCTTTTTTCAACCCTACCCAATCGTGCTTTCCCAGTCTGCGTCTTTATTCTCTGGATCACGCACGTGTGGGGAGCAAGGAACAGAAGATTTCCAACATCATTTCCAAGCCCGCCCGCAAATTTTCAAGAACCAACCCGTTATTGTGCATGCATTGTACTCTTGGATTGCAGTATTTGAACAAGCGGCCACAAGATATCCAACCTGTGTACATTTCTGTTGTTTTGGCCCTGTGATACGTCACTTCTTATCAACCACTTGAAAATAAGCAAACGATTGCAGCATGAACAGTCTCCCCAAAAGAAAAATGAAGAAAGAAAAAATTACCACATTATGATCCTACCTCAACCACAAAACACATCCATGTCTTCTCACTACGAGCTTCTGTTGCACCTTTCAAAATTGTCAGGCCCAAGCTCCTTATGGCTTCTGCTATCTCCAGAAAATGGCTGCACTCCTCACAAAGCATCTGCAGGATAAGCATAATTAGAATATGAAAAACATGCTCAGCAGCTGATGATGGCCAGGCATATGGAACACTATCGAACTCCTTAGTTTCTCATCAGAGCATCTATTTCCCTGATCCCGAGCAATTAAATTTCAAATGAATCATCATTGTACAGTAACACAAAATTGCAACCTCAAACTCAAACGTACCTCAACAAGCATATGTCCATTCTTACTAAGATTCTCCACTAATATTGAATGAACTTTCAAATGACCACCTACTTCCATTGCCCAACTCGAACCCTGTTCATAACTAGAGGATCCAGGAACAGCTGATTCCAAGTGATGCAACTGCAAAAGAGTTTCCAGTAGGTGTTACGTGATAGGAATACAGCATGTAGATACATGGGAGAATGATAGAAGGTCCCAAAAAGATCAATTAATTCAAGTTAGATCCCAAATGTCAAATTTCAGGAATTTGAAACTCAATCTTTCAATTTTACAGTTGTGTTGTAATGAATTTGCAACTTATTTTTCAAATTTTAACTTGAATTAATTGATCCTTTTGGAACCTCTCTGTCATTCTCCCTAGATATATTTTTTCTTTTATTTTTTTTTTAATTCGATTATTTGGATGGTGGGGAGCAAATCAAGACGAAGCTTCTGATGAGTAATCAGCACTCAAAAAACTTGCTATAGCAAGTATATAAAGCCATAAAATATAATCTTGCTAACTACAATAGCAGTTACATGAAGACATTAAATCTTGGCGGAAACTTTTATAACGGACAAACAGACTGAAACCAATGAATTTCTAGTTTAACTATAGCCTTCAAATATCACTTCCAAATTGATGGAAAATGTATTTAGTCAGTTAGTTTCCATATATAGCCCATGGGCTGGAATACAGACTATCGGAATCACTTGGAAGAGTACCTTTGTGTTTGAACCAGTAAATTTAGTTAGCTTGTCAGCATGCTTAGTAATGCTCTGCAGAAAGAGCATGTGCTTTATTGTGCGCTCCAGTAGTGAATCAATACTGCACTGTTGAAGTTACCAGAATTTATTCAGCCACATGAAAGGAACCGCAACTATAATAAAGTCAAAATTAACCCATACAAGTTTAGGAAATGCAGATTAAAGGGAACTACCTTTGCTCCATTTGGCACCAATTCTCTTAACTCCTTAATGCGATCTTGGATCAGTTGCCTGTCCCTTGGCCTAGGCCTACCACTTTCTCCAGGCCTGGCCCTCTTCTTGTTCTTACCAGGTTCAGAAGACCTTTCAAACCGTTCACTACATGAACTAGGACATGATGAAGTCAAAGAGTGGAATATGTCTCCTCTCACAAGAGAAGACTCTACTGAATAGCCTTCTGAATTAATAGCAGGGGCAGTGTGCATTGAAGCTTCAGGAATTCTTTCAGATATCATTGCAGATTGCACTGATGCAGAGTATGAAAGTTCACTCTTAATGTCATTATTACCATGACAAGCATTGGCTACTATTGCTTCCAAAAGATGCTCTGGACAAGATTCACGAGTCAACTGGCTACAGCTGATCTCGTCTGGCATCCTCATCATTGTAAGATCCTCATTAACCTGTCCCTCTGAATCAAAATATCTACTTTTCACAAAAGCCGGTCCAAGGGCTTCATGTAGCTCACAGCCAGCAGGGAATTTCAACAATGCATTTGAGGTACTCTTGTAAGAAGGTGCAGCCTGAAGCTGTGACTTTTCTGTATCTTTTTGGGAGCTTGCATCAGAAGATCTGGGAAAAATCAATGCCTCTTTCTGGCTAGTATTTAGATAACACAACTTATTACCTTCACAAACAACATCATGAAAGTCTGAGGGCAAGCAGGCCAAATCAGCTCCAATTTTTTTGGATGGATCTACAGAATCACTGAAGTTATTGTCCATAACTGAATTGTGTAGCAATGATGTAACATTTTTTTCTGATTCCACCCTAATATCTTTGGACCCACTGCTGCCCACTTCAAACTTCTCATTTAGAGGTCTCATGTCTAAAAATTTTTGATGCTCCACATTCATCATATTTGATACCAACTTGAGCAGAACTGAACTTTCATCACTGCAAACCTCAGGCCCTACATGTTCGGTCACATTAACAGTCATTTTCTGATAAACAGCAGGAAGTGGAAAGTTATTCACAGAACATGGAACAGGCATTAAAATATCCAGTTTTTCACCCCTCGCGGTTTCCTCTGTATCAAGCAAGCAAGCAGGTCCAATTTCTGAAGACAATTTCAATGTTGATGCCTCTGGCTGAAAAACCAAGAAATCTAAATATGATGATAATTTTTAAAATGTGCAGGTCAATAATAATCGTGTCATAGCATTTCTGGCTACATCAATATGTACAAACATGCACGACTGCAGGCACACAACATCCCCTGCAGACCAGAACCAGAATGAAAGACACGTGAACATATAGGGGAGAGGTGGGAGCCGAAAATTACCAGAGAAGAAGAATTCTTCACACTACATTGTATATGATTGGGAACATGGCCTATGGAATAATCTTGATTAGCCAAAAAAACACCTCTGATATGAGTTAAAATTCTCATATCTTCAATCACCTGCTATCAGGGACAGCAGAAGTAAAGCACACTATTAACTATGAATGAAATATAATAATGATAAATTGATTTTCAACATAAAAAATTGTGTAGACCAGAGATTATGTTACATCCAATCAAATTATAAAATAAAGCACTTATTTAACAGTTTTATTTTTTCTATGAAAATATATCTAGCAAATTTATTATAACTAAAACTTGCATCTGAAAATGCTAAATGAAGACATGAAAGTATTTCAGAGAAAAGGAGCAAATAAGCACAAGCCTCTATCAAAACTGCCTCCATTCGTCAGGTCATCATTTTATCCAGCATTCTCACATGCTTATAAGCCAGAATTTACATGAATACAAGTCGTTAACATTAGGGTAATTATATGTGAAACAGTTGTCTGCTAAATTTGCACTAAAAAGTTTTTGTATATGAAGCACAATCCACTACTTTGGTGTCTGTAGGGTGAAATATAATTTATAAATTAACCAATTCATAATTAAGTTATGCCTAAATTCCTCCTTAACATGATTAAAAATTATCGTTTACAAGCTATAATCCATTGCTTTTCAACCTTGTGCCTAAATTATTTCAGCAAATTTATCGCCCAATCACCAGGCAAACTATTTCCCAAATTAAATGGAGAAAAAATACAAGGCAAGTGATGCTAGCTGAATAAATATGATACACCCAAGAGAAAGCAGGTAATCAAATTTTACAGCTCTGAAAATAAAGCTGTTATGCATAGCATAATAGACCCCTATCTTGAAAAGGATCAGCGACCATATCGACAAGCAAGATGGAATTTAAGCAGAGTAAATAGCTAAAAACAGACTAGAATATCTTACTTTATTTAAGGAACCGAGTTGAACAACTCCATGCGGGATTATAGCTACAACAACAACTGTCTACAAGGCAAAACAGAGATTTGTTGATGAAATGCCTTCATGCAGATAAAATACTAAAGCAATGAAGTTCAGGGAATCAATTTCTAAAAGAATTAGCAACATAAAGTGCTCTGGAAGTCCAAAACTTAAATTCTCTTCCTTCTTTATTCCATGCAGCTGATCCCACTTGGTGAGACAAGGCTTGTTGTTTTCTTTATTCCAAATAAGTCATCTATTGTAGCAAGAATAATCTAATGATACTTCCTTCTTTTGATGTATATAACTCTGAAAGAAACAAAAAGTCCCACTTCTTTTTAAAGAAAATTCTTGCACCAAAATTAACAATACAATGCAGCCCATTTGATTAAGAATAACATTTTTCAGTATAAACATCTGATGTTTGGGCCATCAAAGAGATAGTTATCGTGCTCAACAATGAAACATGAGACCCTAAATATATTTTTATCAAAAAATATCAAACTTTATCTAATTCCTAAGGATGCAGCCAAGTGTGGTTCTGATTTAGTTAAAAATAACAATGAACCAGAGAACTATAATGGCTTCATTATGCATTACATTGGGGTACTAAGCATATTAAGTACATGTTTTAAAATGTTGTCAAAGTTTACCATCCTTAATAATGTAGCGTAAGTCTGATTTAAAGTTGAATGCAAAGAATTCTCTCTTTCAGTACCCATTAAAGTTTAATCAAAGAAAAAGATGATCACTTACCCTAATTCCAGCAGAAAACTGGGATTGCCATCCATCAGCAAACTAAAATTAAAACACAAAGGGGAAGAAATGAGAATGATGAAAGTTATAGACAAGGTACCAAATACCAATTAGAGAGCCTCACCTCACAGGACAAACCAGAACTCATAGCATGATCATCTGCATAGATCCACTGATGCTTCCCACTGAGAGCTACCTGTCCAACAATACTGTAAAGGGAAGGATCAATACGATAGGTAGATCAAATTTAACGTGGCTACAGAGTATGGGATGCATAATAGATAAAATTAATCTTAAGCAACATCAACTTTTGTTGGATTAGCCATACCCATCTCCTAACGAATATACATGATCTGACATCTTTCTCACAGCCATTCCAAGAGGGTCATGAGAAAAATGCCCAACGTGAAACTGTTCCATGGTCTTCTGGCAGCACTCATCATCTAACGAATCATAATCATCAGGATTTTCATGGTAACCATCCTCCCATGTTAGGATCCTGTGAGTGAATGCCCCAATCAGAAAATAATTTAATAGAACATTATGGTATTTGACTTTCTTGCTCTGGTACTTAACCAACAATCAACTGTCAAATTTTACATGAAAAACTCGATGTAGTCTGTCATATTGCATATGCACTGCTTAAAAAGATGTCCTTAACAGCAACACATGCAATCCGCCCAAAAGGAGAACGCAAAACAATGGAAAGCAACATAAAGAACCCTAAGAAAACAGAAGGACATTAGTATCCATCAAACGAGTTACTTCTAACTTCATAGTTTTCCTCGAATGAAAGTAGATGACACTCAAGGGCAAACACTCCCCCAAGTGTTATGATGATGAGTATTTCCATGCTTTAATTCTTGATACTCAAGGAGTCCCCTTCTATATTAATAAGCATTATATACGCTAATCGCCTAGGAATCACATCAACGAACAATTAAAGCCGAGGCACAGGAATAGCCAACTTGAAGGACGAAACGCAAAAGGACAAAAACATTTTCTTCGTAAGATCATTTACACAATTAAAAGCTGATAAATTTTGCTCAAAAAAATTAAAAGCAGATAAATTATCGTGGTCTCTGAATATCAGGGAAAACCCAGCCAATATAGTCAATCCCATTAAATTGCCACAGCACTTAAAGCAACCACAAAAGTGCAAAGCAACGGTAAATCTTGAAACTCTTTACTACGCGTAGTCAGCATCCGAAATATTAATGGAGACACAAATCAAAAACCAGATACGAAAGATGAGCAAAAGAACAAGAAAAAAGTTGACGTACTTCCGATCCTCATGTCTGAGTCTCCAAAAGATGGCGTACTTCCAATCAGTATTTAAACAGAGCCTTCTGAGTAATTGACGCATGTTCATGGCCATCTTCTCAGAATTTTGACGACCCCACGAAGCCCCGAGAAAGGGTTGTTGATTAACTCTGCGAAAAAAGAAAAACAATAAAAGCCCTCCAACTCCCTATAGTCCCCTCGCCCTAGCTTCCCCTATAAGATCCTCTTCCAGCCTGCTTCCTCCGCAACCCAGCTCGCCGTTTTAATGGCGGTCCAATTGTTGGCCGAAGCAGACGATCTGTGCCCATTGCTCGTACGAGAAGCACGAAGTTCAGTATCCTCAAGCTTCGAGATTTGCTTATGAAGGATTTACAAACCCGAGAGGAGAACAATACCCGCCACCTCACTGAAAATGACAACTACAGCACAGTGCTTGAGCATAGAAATCCTGCAATTACTCATGGAATGTTCCCGGAAACTCCGTAATTTTTTTGAGACGGATTTGAAAGGAAATGCCAAATGAGAATATAACAAAAAATGAGCGTCGAGACTCTAGCTTATATCGGACGACATGGAGGCAAGGCAGTGCGAGAACTGAAAGTGTATAGTGAATTCCTCAGGTAGGATGGAGAAAAATCTGAACGCGAAGGAGAAGAAAAATGGAAAGGGACTGCAAAGTAAGAGCTTTAGAATGGGCACAGAGAAGTGGGGTATATTAGTCGAAGAAAAGAAGAATGATCGGCTTCTACACAGCTTGTTTTTTCAGATAGAAGCAAACTACAAGCTTTCCAGAAAGCTGCCCTGACTCACTTCCTTCCGGGCGTGGAAATGGTGGATGAGAAGTAAGTGTTATTATATTATAACGAGTGACATGCGCACTGTGTTAGGCGCGGAGAGGAGAGGAGTCACAAACAAGCACCAACATGCACACCGCGCATTTTAGCAAACTTTATCCTGATGAGCCTTTTCCCTTTGATTCTCTTTCACTCCTAACTCGACTGGGGAAAAAGGCATGGGCAAAAGCCCAAGGTGCGAAGCTAATGAAGGATTAGAGACTAAGTTGAGCTTATATTTAACGCTAACAACTTCCACGAGCCCAGGACCAAAGGGCAAGAAAGTTAAACAATCCAACTGGGTTATAAGTGCACTTTACAGGTGGATTTATTTTATGGCCAACAACATCATGCTCCATGGAGGAAATGCTTCTTATCCTCCCTTCAATTATCAAACTTTCTTTTCTTGTTTTATGATACTGCAATGAACTTAACCCTCTTATGTCGTTTTCAACAATGATCTTATAGCTTCAAAGGTGGCCGCCTCCACCCTCGTTTCTTCTTTACTTCCCCACCCAAGTTTACCTCAACAATATATATGATTTTTTTTAATGAGTTCTCATTTGGCGGCTAGCTGGTTCATGTTCATTGAATTGAATAGCGATTCCCTGTGTATATGATAGCTGATTGGTTCACCCATTCATTTCATGTAGGAGTAGGAAGCATCAGATGTATCCCATTAAATGAGCTACATCCGTGTCTGTTTTTTGTTTCAAAACAAATAAAAACGTGCGTGACAGCCGTACATTTCCTCGATTATTATTTATTAGGTTCTCAATTCTTATCTCACTACGATTAGTCCTCCAAAATCTGCATCGGCTGGTAAGTCTATTTTATATTTTAGGAGACTAAATGATATATATACACACAATAATTCATACAGTACTGGAGATTCGTAATGTCAAGGAATTAATGATTAATTTGAAAGATATTGAGGAACACGGGTATGTTTATATTTAGCAACTTTGACATTTTTTAACCGCCATACTATATGAATAGGTAGCAAATTGATTTGTACCAAAAATCTAAAATTAAATTTAAAGGATAATTGAAACGTATACAAGTCAGGGTTCAAGTTGTGCCAAAATTATTTAATTTTCTCCAGCTACATGTACACAGACAGACATGCACTTCAATCCCATTCAATATGGTGAATCGGTGATAAAACACACATGACATATGTATCGACACAAAAAAAAAAAAAAAAACTCTTCGAGTGTTTATGGTCAAGATTTCCCTGTCCTGGCAACCGACTTAATAAAAACAGGAACAAATTCTTGCCCCGCACCAACTCAACATCGTGTTAGGGATCCCATTATGAGTTTTAACACTGTGATCCAGAATATGATTATAGTCATTGATTTCTCTCATGTCATCACTTCTTTCTTTAATTTTTTTTTTTGTCTGCATGCGTCTTTTTCGTAAGAGTGATTTCGGAGTTTGATGCCAGGTTGGCTGAATTTAGTCCCTCGCTCGCTAATCATAAAGGACAGAAATACAAAGCATTGATGTTAAAAAGCAGTAAAATGATAATCATACGTGTCTTTTACTAATAATTTAATAATTTAACTAGTAACATGCAAACAACGTAGCTTTGGTCGTAAACGGATTCAATTTGTCGGGAAGTAGTTAAATACAGTTTGCCTTGATCGCTCCCTGCCAATTTAATTAAGAGGCACAATGATGTTGCCAGATCATTCATTTTTCTCATATGTGAAAAAGAATCAATTGTCTCTCTCCCTAGGTTTCCTCAATGACCGATGGCGATGATCATGATAATGTTCCCCCTCGTCGCCTGTACAGGAAGAGTAAACTTCTTGCACTATTTGACGTTTTGACTCCAACAGGCTGAAATTTTACCAATATATATATATATAGATCAAAAAAACCGAACAAAGTAATTATATAGGTCCATGAAATATTCAAAATCCTGATCATTGTTAACTTGAAATCGTATGGCAGACAATTAATATCTCTAAATGTACGGCTATTTATTTATTTATTATTGCTTGTTTTAAAAATGCATTTTACTTTAAAGATGCATCAAAAGCAAGGGTCAAGTCAAGGGTGATGAGGGGTGGCCATAGCCCCCTAATTTTTTAATTTTTTTGTTAATAAAATGTAGAGATATTACATATTTTTGACCATCTTAAGTTGACATATTATAAGACATGAAGATATCAGATGAGGTTCTTATTTCAATTTTATATGTAATTTTTTATATGTGTATGATTCTCATTTCTAACATGATGTCATTTGCTTTTGATTTCATTATATATTTGATGAAAGAAATTATAAGAATTACTTACAAACTTTGTCAAACATTACAATCCTTAGATGGATTGAATGTTTTGTGCTAAATATTTACTTTAAAATCACTTATTTAAAAATTAAAAGATTATGATTAAAATGTTCTTCTAAGAAAAAATAAAAAGTTCCTTCTTTTTATGGTAACCAAGTTATTAAAATTTATTATATGAATGATTTCTGCTCTTATATAATTTGATCTTATAGACATAAAAATTTTGTGATAGTTAAACATAATTACTTTGTTGATATACTTACTATTGTAGCCAATCATTAACTAAAATAATTAAAGAATAAATTTAGTGAGCAAGTAATGGAACTTCTTAGATTAAATACAACTTTAAATCATAATGATATGCATTTAAATCATTCAATACTTAAAAAGAAGATAAATTTTTATCATTTTACTTGTAGTTTATATTGAGAAAGAAATTGCTAAGAAGTTTATTATGGACATAATAATTGTTTATTTTTAATTATGTCATGTCAAAGAGAAAACCTTAAAAAATGAAAATATGTATTTAGTTTTGTCATATATTTATAAAATTAAATATGAACATATATGTTGAAATATTTATACTCTGTTTGTAATATATTTAGATCTAACTTTCTTACTGTTATTATACATGCTTTGCCACCTTGGCTCTCCTAACCAAAATTTATGATTCCACCCCATTTAAAAGGGAAGCTTACCGATCCATCAAGTCATAAAGTCAAACTAGTTCATACTTGATCATCCGCCTAAACCACCGCCCACCACTAGTAATTCCAAACTTCCAATGACAAGATTAGTTTTCTACAATGATCCATTTGGTAGCAAGAACTTGGAGGGAGAGAAGTGGAAGTGGAACTCATAAATTTGTGTGTTTGGTGTGTATGAACTAGGTTCTCGAGAGAAGTGATTTCATCAAATTTGATGGGGTTGAATTCCTTAGGTAGATACATGGAACCAACTTCCTACCTCATTTCCTTCCTTGTTTTTCCATCTTTACCCTCAACCTCTCTCCCCTCTACCGATCCATCAGGTCATAAAGTCAAACTAGTTCATACTTGATCATCCGCCTAAACCACCGCCCACTACTAGTGATTCCAAACTTCCAATGACAAGATTAGTTTTCCACAATGGTCCATTTGGTAGCAAGGAATTGGAGGAAGGGAAGTGGAAGTGGAACTCATAAATTTGTGTGTTTGGTGTGTATGCACTAGGTTCTCGAGAGAAGTGATTTTCATCAAATTTGATGGGGTTGAATTCCTTAGGTAGATACATGGAACCAACTTCCTACCTCATTTCCTTCCTTGTTTTTCCATCTTTACCCTCAACCTCTCTCCCCTCTCCTGCTATGTTCAAGCCTCGACCTAAACGCTTCCCTCTTCTCCTGCTGCGTTCACTAACACCTCCGTCATCGGTGACGCCCACCCTTGCTCTTCGTATTCTACAATATTGTCAGTCCATTCTTTGCAACACCTTTGTCTTCGATTCTCCTCTCCCAATACCATCGATCAATTCTCTGCAAACACCTACATAAATCCATTCTTTGGGTCGCTATTGGTCATCTTTTACAAATCCATAATTTTGGATTGTTTTTTTTTTTGGAGATCTTCATGTAATATCCCAATATAAATTTTAATAGTTAATTTGGGTTAATAGAAAATTAAAAAAATAAAAAATAAAAAAATAAATAATTTAAAAAAAATAATAAAAATAATAATAATAAAATTATTATTAAATTATTATTATTATAATAAAAAAAGAAAGAAAGGAAGAAGAAGAAAACGAATTTGCTTCGTCCGCCGCCTCAACAGTAATAATAATAAAATAATAATAAAAAAAAGAAGAAGAAGAGAGAGAAAATAATTAAAAAAAATGTGTGGGACCCACTGAATTTTTATAAAAACTCACCTTCCTTCATTTCCTCATTCATTCCTGCGCGCGAGCTGAGGCGGAGAGAACGCGAGTCACCGGTGCGAAATATCTAAATTTTTAAGGTAAGAGTTTTTAATAGGATATTTAGGATGTGATTTTAAGCTTTTTAAGACTAAGTAATTGTTCTAAAAATTTTTCTTAGTCATCTTTCTTCTTTAGTTTCTGAGTTTGTAGTGGTAGAAAATTTAAGATCTGGAAGAAGGATGAATTTATGTTGAATAAATATGGTTTTTGAGGTTGTCAGTAGTATAATAAATGTTATAGAGTATAAATTTGTTAATGATCTTTGAATTTATGGCTTATGGATCAAATTCTAGACTAGATCTGAAAATATATGTTGATTTATTGAGGTTTAGATGATTATTTAGGATGAGAAATGAATTATTATGGCTATAGGATTATGATTCTAAGCTAGAGATTTAATTTTTAATTTTTTGGGTATTTTAGGTACGAATTTATGAAATAAAAAGAAAAATTTTGATAATAAAAATTAGTTTAGAAGTTGATTTTTAGATTATTAATGTTTATTGATAATTAAAAGAGGAGTTAAAAATTATACTTAATAGTATTAACTATAGATTTGTATTAAGATTGAGATTAGAAATTATGTTATATTTTTAATTCTATTATTAGAATTATTTTATTAGTTTCAAAATTGAAACTAATATTTATAAATAATATGTTATTTGTAGATTGTATTACTGGTGAAGATTGTGGTGAGAGAGAAATTTTAAGGAATAATTTATTGAAAAAGCCACAAGGTAACCATACTTTTAATTTGTGATTTGTGTTACTTCATGTTAATTGGGTGATTATTGAGAAAATTATAAATTTTGTAATATTATATAATTGTGCAATATTATTATGAATTTATTTGATTATTGTGGGAGGTGTTGGGAGACTTGTTATTGTTGTTATATTTATGTGCCACGTGATAAGCCCCTATTGGAGCTCAATAGGT